AGATACATATTATCAGGTTCTCAATAGTATCAATTTGCAGGGGGGGGGGGGTTGGGGTGGTGACAGAAATTGAGACCCACTGACCCACAGTAACCAGTCCAGGTGGGTCCAGTGAAGTCACCCTGGGGAAAACAACAACTTTAGAAAAATCCCATTTAGTGGAAAACACTGAGATCAAACACTCTCTGACAGGAAGTTGTTTCCAAACGTTGACAGTCGTCTCTTTTATCTCCCTGTTCACAGGAGCTGTTGATAGACGCTACGTCACCGTCAGTCCGTGTCAGTCAGGACTTTACCATAACCTGGAATTGAACCCCAGACCCTCCTCTACCCTCCCCTTTTACCTTGTCAGTGTCGTGGTCCTGTGTGTAAATTAGAACATGATTTTATTTGACTACTTTTCACTGAGTTGATTTGAATTTTTATTATTTCAATCTATTTATGTTCTGTGTCTGAACTGTCACGTCAACTAATCTGAGGAGGGGGCGGGGCTTAGATCTGCGCTGTTCCACTACACCGGATGTTTGGGGCGTGACCTGGTCACAGAGGTCTACAGACTGGCACTGAGAAGAGAGAAGATAAAGACCCACCTTTAAATGTTTGATTGTCTCACGTGTTGGAGTCTAACATTCTGTTCAAATAAAAACAATCCACGTTCAAAACACAAACCTGCTGAGTCTGGATCCTAACAACATCAACAACAACAACAACAACAACAACAACAACAGTCATATTAATATTGATAACAACAGACGTCCTTCACCTACAGCAGGATGTAGACGTAGACCATCAGTTAGTCCACAGTCAATGTAATGTTTCATGTGGTCAACTGTAACTTCTAACTACACTGGTGTACTACACTGGTGTACCACACTGGTGTACCACACTGGTGTACCACACTGGTGTACCACACTGGTGTACTACACTGGTGTACCACACTGGTGTACCACACTGGTGTACCACACTGGTGTACTACACTGGTGTACTACACTGGTGTACTACACTGGTGTACTACACTGGTGTGGTACAAACACACAGTTGACACCTGGACAGTTTCTAACACCAGCCCTTTACTCTGGGTTACCATGGAAACTAATGATGTCATCCAACAGACCTAATGAATCTAGAAGAGAGTAGCCAATGAGCTCCTTTGGACATTTTTCTTTAAAACGTCACCTGACCAAATCAAACAGCAGGTTTTTCAGAGAGAAACAACGAGTGATTGACAGATACGAGAGTGAAACAACAAAGAGATAAAACAACATGAAAGAAGAACAACGCTCAACTGACATCAAAGGCAGAACCAGAACCCGTCCCATTATGAACTAATGATCCAGGTATAAAGGCTGAGGCTGATGCAGGTGTGTTTGACCTTTGACCCTGAGTGAACCCTTATTCAAACAGAGCTTCAGTCTGAGTTTGTCTGAGCTGAAACAAACCAAGGAGTCGAGATCAGAGCTGGTAACAACACACACTCAGCTCCAGTCACATTAACACACACATGTTTTCACACATGAGCACAAACCGCAAATAAATACTTATACATCTGGAAGAAAACGTTTTTCCTCCTTGAAGAAATATCATGTGTTTCTGGGTAATGACCCAAATCAGCGCCATGAGCCGACTACACAGGCGTGACTACACAGGCGTGACCACACAGGCGTGACTACACAGGCGTGACTACACAGGCGTGACTACACACGCCTGCACGTAAACAGACCACGACAAACTGCCACATCATCACACGCACAAGAACACAAGACGGAAGCACGCGGCCAGGAAAAGACGTGTGCCCATTGGCCGGAGCGTTGATGCAGAAAAAGATTTAAATATCACTGGAGATGAAAGACTGGATGATTGCATCACTTCTGGATCAGCTAAACAGTCTACTGCCTCTGGTGGCGACACAGCAGCGCTTCACACCACAAGTCAGTCAGCATGTACGGTACGACCGCCACAAATCAATCCTGCGCTGTAGTGTAGTCAGGCTGTTCTGACTACAGTGACACTGAACAACAGTCGTACTGACCCTGGACAACAGCCGGACTGTCACTGAACAACAGTCGTACTGACACTGAACAACAGTCGGACTGACCCGGGACAACAGCCGGACTGTCACTGAACAACAGCCGGACTGCCCCTGGACAACAGCCGGACTGTCACTGAACAACAGCCGGACTGCCCCTGGACAACAGCCGGACTGTCACTGAACAACAGCCGGACTGACACTGAACAAACAGTCGGAATGACGTCACACTCTATATAAGTCAAGTCAGCTACAACAGCTTAGAGAGGACTTTTTATATGAAAGGAGGAGGAGAGAGAGGGGGAGGGGAGGGGCGAGAGGAGAGGGGAGGAGAGGGGAGGGGCGAGAGGAGAGGGGAGGAGAGGAGAGGGGCGAGAGGAGAGATCTGTGTGATTGAGGTCAGTTTTCTCCCCAGATGAGGCTCCATTTTAATCACCCTCTGTCGCTCTCATCACCGTGGAGGCGTTGGCCTCATCAAGAAGGGGAGGGACAGAGGGGAGACAGAAGAATTTCTTCATATGTAAACAGCAGGACATATAAAAGACAGTGGGGGGGGGGGGAGATAAACAGGACTCGGATGGAAAAGTAAATGGAGTGGAAGACTATTATGGTCTGTTGTTGTCAGGCTGTTCTTAGAAAGAATGAGGTTCTCCACAGAGACCGTCTGGGTCAGTGGTCTAGATCTAGACCTCAGTGGTCTAGATCTAGATCTTAGACCCAGGCCCAAACACAGACACAGTCCTGGCCATCATTAATCATCTCTTAAACCAGAGCTGAGAACTAAAACGTCTAAACATCCGTACCGTACTGTACCGTACTGTACCAACAACACCACACACACAGACTTCACTGCACATTAATGATTCAATAACAGAAGCAACAGAAGAAATGATGGATCAGTATTTTCTCTCAGCTCGTTACGTCAGACAGAAAGTTAATAAAGTGAAAACAGTCCCTCTGTCACACACACACTCACACACACACACTCACACACACACACACTCACTGTAGACCAGCTCTTACCTGTAACTCTTCTAGGTGAGAACGGTCCAGGTTTTTCAGGGTTCTTCAGAACATTGGCTGCGTCACTGAGACTGGAGCTGACCGTGGTGCTGACCAGGCAGGATGATTACTGTGTTCCTTTGACAAACTGAGAATGAGACAGAGAGACAGACAGGTCAGGGTGAGGAGGCTTCATTTCTTGTTTATATGTTTGACCATGTGTTACATGTATGTTTCCACACGTCAACTCTGATGAACAACAGCTTCACTGACGTTTGGACCAGGTTTCAATGAAGGTCAGTGAGGAACCACAGATGGTCCATTGTGGGAGGACACACAGGTGGGGACGGAGGGGGGGAGGGTGACTGGGGAGGGAGGGGGGGCAGATGAGGAGGTTTAAATGGCAGAAGACAGAAATATATGTCGATTAAAGAAGATCAGAAGTTTGGACACGTCTGCTGTAGAAAACTTTTTATATTATATTTTCTACGTGTCCTACTTCTATGTAACAACTGATTCTCCAAATTCAAGTTCAATCTTTGAAGTGTCAATATTTTCTTCTGCTCAACTGCGAAGAAAAGGGAGCTGAAGGATCAACAGGGGGCGTGTGATTAAGGA